AAAATATTATAAATCAATAAAAAATGTTAAAAAAAAGAGTGAAAGACCAAAAGAATGATTGATAGATAGATAGATAGATAGATTGATTGTTGGGCTGCATTCATCTCATTGAACCTCATAAGAAGCCCCAAACCAGAATTGTCCTGCCATGGGATCCCTGGATTCCTGACTCAGAGGAAATAAGTAAGAAGAGTTCATTATTGTTTTAAACTACTAAGTTTCAGGCTAATGTGTTGTGCAGCAATAGATAACTAATAAAGCTTTTGGTACCTGGAAGTTGGATGTTGCCAGAATGATAACTTTAAAATAATGGAAGTGGCTTTGGAACTGATTAGTGGGAGGAAGTTGGAAGGGCCTTGAGAAGAGTGAAAGACAAAGATCCTTGGAAAGACTTATTAGAAGCTTGATAGCCTGTGAGAAGGTTACCAGTAAGGACATCAAGGAAAGTGTTGAAAACTATAGGAAAGGAGATCCTTGCTATGCAGTGGCCAAAAATTTACCAACACTGTCACCTTAAGGTAGAGAATGGCTTTTCTCAGATATTTGTTGGTAAGGCTTTTGTCTAATGGTGTGAAAAGCTTTTGCCTAATGAGACTCAAAAAGACCTTAAAAGTTTTTAAGAAAATTGTATTAGCAGAAATGCCACCAGCTTACATTAAAAGGAACAGATAGGACAAAATGAAAATAAACCTTTGGACCTCAAAAGTTGTACAGGCATGAGGCAATCTGTAAAAACTACTCAGCCACAAACATAGACTACCTTTTGTGGAAAAGGAGGGATGACTCAGAGTAGAACCAAGAACCATGGAGAATTGTTCCTGTGCTCTGAGTTCTAATCAAGGAACTGCCAACATGTGCTTGATGGATTTCAGGTTGCTTAGTGGCTCCTTTAAACCTCCTGTTTTTCCCCTTTTGGAATCGAGGGTCTGTAGCAACTCTCTTTTGCCTGTCTCACCATTTTATATTGAGTGTGTATTGGGCAAAGAACTTGTCTCTGTAGGTCATAGGTCTTCAGATTGAGAGAAACTATGTATGAGGAGCATCATCCACAAGTTACTTTAAAGGATGAGATCCTAGACTTTGAGCTGATGCTGTAAATGGATGAGATTTTGAGGGTGGTCGAGGAGGGGGGAGAATATTTTGCATGTAGGAGGAATATAATTTGTGGCTAGAATGTGGAATATGGTAGTTTAAAAATATGTCTTCAGATTCTTTGATATTCCTCCCTTCAAAAGGTGGAGCCTAATTCCACTGCCCTTGAACATGGGCCAGATTAAGTGACTTGCTTCTAATGAATAAAATGCGGCAGGAGCAATGCTACATGACATTTGAGGGGAAGGCATAAAAGAATAGCTTCCACCTGGTGCACACTCGCCTCTCTCTCTTGCTCTCTTTTCCCTTCTCCCTCCGCTGTCTCTCAGATCACTCATTTTTTGAGGAAAGCCACCTTCCATGTTGTGAGGACACTCAAGCAGCCCTCTGGAGAGTAGAGAGGCCCAGATGAGGAGGAACTGAGGCCTCCTGCCAAAACCCAGCACCAGTGTATCCCTGATGTATACAAGTCACCTTGGAAGTAAATCCTTCAGCCCCAGTCCAGCTTTCAGGTGACACCAGCTCAGACTGACAACTTGCTTGCCATCTTGTAAGAGATTCTGAGACAGCTAAGCTGTTCCTAAATTCCCGACACACAGAGACCATTTGAGATAATAAGTGTATGTTGTTTTAAGCCACTGAGTTGGGGCAATTACTTACGCAGCAATAAATTAGCAATGAATCTGGCTAAAATTATGATATAATCATACTGGGGGGATAACTGACCTCTCAAAAAATCTACCCACCTAAATATAGAAAGTGAATTTTCTATGATCATGTTTATCTAGGGAGGCAATAAGTTTTTTCATATTTTTCACAGGGATACACTGGTAACATAACTGGCATTCTTTGCAGCTGTCTTTAAAAATGATAGACATAGATTAAAAGCAAAAAATTTTAGAGGTGGGAGGGGGCTAAAGGATTTTGTAATCTCAGACTCCTTTTTTAAAGCACAGTGTTTCAGAAATAAGAGGTGCTCAGTAAGTGGTTTTGGTGTATGTATGACATGTCTATTTATTCTTAAGGTTGTATTTGAAATTTGATTTATCAAAGTAATGCCTATACATAGATAAACAATCAAATATTACTAATATCTTTCTTATCAAAAACAGTCCTATGTTCAGTTTCCCAACTCTTGTCTCCCATGACAGCCACTTTTACCTTTTAACCGGCATCTCCTGATAGTCACCTTCATAGTTCCAGATAGTAAGCTTATTCTATTGTTTCTTGGTTTATTAGCTTTAAAGAGTATTTACTGACTTTTCATTATGATCATTGAGAATTTCTTTCTTCCCTCCAACTTTTCTCCTCCACTTTCCCAGTAGAATTACAATTTTCAGTTAAGCTAATACTTGATATTTACACCGTTATGACTAAACATTATTCACTGCTGAGTCAAGTAAAGTATGGTGATTATCTGCCTTTCTATGGATGTTTGTTTTCTTGGCATTAATTCTTTTCTTTCCTTTCATTTGCTTAATTTCCTGTGGATGGACTGCTTGTTTACTCCTAATGCATTAACAGATCTGTTGAATGCCTGACAATCATTATTTCAAATTCTCAAATAATCTGTCTGTTCCTTCTTTTCTTTCTTTTCTTTTTTAATGGAGGTACTGGGAATTGAGCCAAGTACCTTGTGCATGCTCAGCAAGCACCCTACCAACTGAGCTGTATCCCCACTTCCTTGTCTGTTCCATCTTACCTGACCT